CTCTTCTGTGTATGCTCTATATAATCTAGAACGAATTTTTTCTGTCTGAAAACTTGGTAAATCAACTAAATTAGCATACCATTTGCAATAGTCATCAGTTAATATCTTGCTGGAGGTAGTATTAGAAGACATGTTATCATTTTATATTAATGCAACTTAATTCAAAATCACGTAACTGCCAGACACAGAGTGTCCTGCTCCGCAGAGAAAAAAATATCACTATCCACTTGATCAGATTTATGTAATTATTTACTTACGCAGTTATTTCAATTTCTTGTTGTCCATATTTAATAAAATAAGATCCAGCTTCATATCTACCTCTTATACTTTTCTCATCTCTATGACTCGACTTGCATGCTGGACATAATGACTTGTCAATAATTCCATAATAATCGAATTTTTCACTACTAAATTCTCTATGTATATCAGGATATCGACCTAATATTTTATTACGAAAATAAGCGCAGTCATGAGCTGAGTTAGATGAAGCGCTCACCTCTGCATTAGTCTGATCGTTCCCTGAGGGAACTGTTTTAAAAGTCACTTGATTTATAATATTTTGGATCTGGACATTAGTCAGTTTTGAAATCTCATTCGCGCTATAAGTGACTTGCTTAATTTTATCTATTCCAACTCTATCTTTTCCAAATAACATAAGAAGCTTTCTAGCTCTTAGAGTTTTTTTGCGTAAGTTATCTTGTGTGATACTAGAAAGAAAAGGGTTCATTTCTTTGTAAATCATTGTTCTGGCCGTTTTATCTTTTATTTTACCATCGGCTGTAATATCATGAACCTTATTTTTGAATTCAAGAGAATAATAATGCCAGTTTAAGATTTCCTGTTGTCTTGACTTAATTGCTGTTTTAAATAAATGAGACAAATGTTGGGCAGAATTTCTAAAGAAAACAATATTCGATTCCTCTGAAGATATATTCCCTGATTTGTCGCCAGAGTTACCAATTTTGATAGAGCTATCGTTTTCTTTAGTAGGTAAATGCAATTCTTGTATTAAATCTTGTTCAATGATTTGGTTTTTATCAATTTCATCGTCCTGTTCTAATTCAGACACTTCAGTTTGCAACGAAGGCGACTCTGTTAAAATCACATGACTTTGATCGTTTCCTGAGGGAACGGTTTTTGTATTATGATTAACTTGGGGTCGTGACCCCATATCTCTGGATGTAATTTCATGAAATTGCGATAAGTCT